CACCTCCCTTCCCTTCTCCCTCTTTCCGTCACCCACCTTCCCTGCCCTCTCTACCACTCTCCCGTCGCCCCTTCCCCCCCCTCTTCTTATCTTCTCTCCCTCCCTCCCTCTATGCTCCAGCTGAAACAACTTCAAACCTACCTCCACAAACCATCGACAACCGCCACTAACACCCACCAAACTCCGGTGAAACACAAACCCCAAACCCCTTCGTTTTTCTCCCTTTTCCGGTGAAAAATCCACCGGAAGCAACACTGAAACAACCATTCCAAACAGCAGTGCCGGCAAAGAGCACGCCAGCCGACAGTCCGCTCGTCCTCTCCTCTTTACCGGCGAGTTTCAGGCAACAACAACTCTGTAACAGCAGCCGAAGAAGCAGCTCAACGCCAACCCCATTTCTTTCGTTTTTTTTCGTTTCCAACCAGCAGCTTCGGCAAAGCTCTAAGCTGAACCAAACGACCCCGTTTTTCCCGTCAACTTCACAACAGACCCACCAAATCCCGACCAAGACTCAGCTCAAACATCCGCTCAAACAGAGAGCACCAAAAGCCAGCACAAACCTCACCCAAAAAGCTCTCTCCCTCTCTTCGCCAAACCCACAACAACCAGACCTAACCTCTCTTTGTTTTCTCCCCTTTTTCCAGTGAAGCAGTCATTGAAAATGACTCAAAAACAGCACCACCACCAGCGAGCAACAGCAGCGCGCTGCAAACAACAGCTTCAACGGACAGCAGTGAGGACAACAACAACTGGAGAGCAGTTTGGCGAGAAGCAATTCAGGCGGAGTTTCAAATCTGGCTGGAAAATACTTCAGTCCGGCAACCCACCTCTATAAATTGTTTGCTTGGTTCTTTCTTATGTTTTACTATTGATTCATTTATCTTTTGGTGATATTTTGCTTATTGTTAATTTCTATTTATTGTGATCATTTTTTTTAATAATGATTAAATATAGTTGTCCAGCTATTTGTTAGTTTTCAAATTTTTCAAATCTGCATATTCTTTAATTTTGTTTGGCTATTTTGCTTTTGAGTTGGGTTTTATCTGTTTTTTTTGTTAAGTCTTAATCTTATTTATTATGTTATTAACGTTTTGACTAGTGTATAATATTGTTGGGTATTATTGTTGATAAATGTTCTCACTGTTGCATTATTTTTCACTTTTAATTATTGAATTCTTGTATTGTCTTTTATCAATTGTTTTGGCTCTTTTGATTTAGCAAGTTTGTGTTCATTTATTATTGCCCCTCTGTTTTCACATTATTATTTTTTTTAAAAAATTTGTGAGGTTTGCTCGAGTAAAGTATTGTATTCTATTTATAAGTATAATTACACCAAAAAAATTATACGAGAAAGAAACAAAATTGTGAATGAGCATTGATAAAGCATCTGATTGTAGTTTTTTTTTGGTGTTTTACATGTCGTTTTTATTGTTATTTTCTAATAAAACTAGTGCTGCATATTGGGTTCTGAAGTTACTACTTGTGGCGCAGTTTTTAAATCTTAAGCTACTAGGAAATTTATGGTTGTTTGTCTTTGTTGTTTTGGTGGTTGCTTTCAATTAGATGCCAGATGTATTACTGAAATTGTTTGGATCCTTGTGTAGTTTGATAAAAATAATTGTTGGAGAAGTTGTTGATAAGTTTAGCTTTGTGAAACATGAAAAAGGGCACTAGTTCACGTGGATGAAAAATGAAAATTTAGATCTGTTAAGTTTAACTGGCACTGTGTGTTGGGTTATGGGCCTTTTTCCCTTCCTATGTGGATAAATAAAAGTCCAATTTGGACCAACCCATTTTTGCCCATAGGCCCATTCTTATGAGGCAAATATAAGCCTATTTAGGTCTTATTTTCATACACACAGAGAGTTTTTTCAGCAGCCAAAAAGAGAGAAAGAGAGCAGTTTTCGCAGTGAAAATTCAGACCTAACAACCAACTTCAAATTGCGATTCCCAACAAAGTGGTATCAGAGCATTGTTTATTGTTAATTGTCGTTTTGAATTATGGAGGCAAATATGAGCAAAACAGTGTGTTTAAATGGT